TAGTCAAATGGCCAAAAACTCATAAAAGGGGATAAAAAGGACATTTTCATGGTGGAATCTGACTGATAAAAATTTTGGAGCTTAATCCGAGACCAGTTTGTGGATAAACAACGTCGAGTGACAAGCCGTGGACATTTTTTTTCGCATTGCACTCCCCAGGGAGGGAATCCCATGCAGTGACGTACGCTGCAGCGGGAGGGGTTTTCCCAGGAGCTCGGCTCGGGGTGTCTCAGGAACTTTGAAAGGTATGTGCGAAAACGAACRCCGAACTACCACGAGACAGCGTGTCGACCAGTCGGCTGCCGAGCGACCATACTGCCTGCTTAAATACTTGCTGCTACAAAGCACCGCCTAYTGTCRAGGAGGGGGTAAGCTCCTCCCTGGAGCTCAGTCTACAGCCGAGCTCCCGCCCCACAGAGCACCCCTCCACTGAAGACTTGTTGTGAAGACGTGCTGAAGTGGGAGTGTCAGAAACGATAGGCAGTTCTTAAAGAGACAGAGGTCAATTTCAAGGTGTTTAGATAGACAATGATGCAAACTCCAATTTATTTTTTCATTATTACAGTATTTTCATAACAGCTGAAGGTAACATATTTGATTGTGGTATGTAATTGAACAATAGCATTATGTATTTCAATACATAATCCCCCYTGCCTTTAAAGGACTGCATATAGTAAAATCATCCTATGCTGAAAAATGAAATTATAGYCACTGTGGTGAAATTAAAATGCTATGCGTTTTCTGTTAGCAGTCAGTATCTTTCAATCTAGTTCAGTTTTGCTGTTTTTGTGCAAAGGTCAGTTATCTGCGGTGGCCATCTTGAATTGGGTCAACTCCAAAGGTTAATCACTTTGAGATTAAACAATTTCTTATGGAGTATTTTTGATCAAATTTGCACAGGGGTTCATGAGATATTTTGCTAACCAACAGACAGTGTTGACATCTATGGTTAATGTCAAACTTTTAGGTAAAAAAATTGTTCAATGTGCAGCTCTGAGTATGTTTTGGAAGGGATGCTCGGCCACCATCACACCAAAATGTACAGTAGGTCAATCCTGGTCAAATTGGCTGAGTTGTAGCTATTTCTGTGTTTGCTAAGTTTGCCTAGCGGTGGAAGCCATCTTGAGTGTGGCTGACTCCAAAACTTAATCAGTTGTAGATGTACACTGAATGATTCATTTCTAAGAATTTTATTTGAATCCCCACTCTGGTTGATGGGGTATTTTTTGCTAAAGATACACACAGAAGCAGTAACATCATTGCCCTTTCAATGGAAGAGCAATATAAATTGCTCTTTTTCTTAATGACAACAGATAACCAGGTAATTCCCCTCACTGAGAGACAATAAAGGTCACCACTACTCATCTGAGTTCAATCTCTCACAAAATAAAAGTGGCCTAAAGCCTTGAACCAGTTCATGAGCAACGAGYGGACATCTGACATTCCCCAACAAACTGTCAGATATCAGATTACATCACTGCCAAAGATGCAGCTATCTGACTCTTGACTGAGCTGCTGCTGCAGTGAAGGCCTGTGAGGAAGACCTCGTAATGGGAATGGTCTAATTTTAACTTTATTGTTCCACACTGTGTGTAGTTCATTCTTAGAATCTGGAAAACTGTTTCAAATGATCCATTTATTCCAGATTCAAACATATCGGAAATCCAATTCAAGGATGTTCTTGTCAGCAAGTTCCAGCATCAATATGAAGACTTCTGTTACCTTTTTTCCCCGTCTTCCTGCATATCCTCATTCTTGGAAACGAAGGCCAGGAGTAGTTGAAAGGAGAGTCTGAGTCAGAATCCATGACGTTTGATGTAAAAGAGAAAACCTTCATCCAAGCAGCCTCAAACTGTCCAGAAACAAAATGAGCGGTGCCTCATTTTACATCCCACACGGCCAAACAGACTCCAGACGAGCTGCAGAGCTTATTACTCTTGTTTTTCCAGAGCCTCTGACACTTCAAGAGTGAGCCAGCATGTTCCCCTCTGTCTCCCCCCAAAAACCACCCCTCCCCCTTAAAGTCTTCGCCTTACCCCGTCCTCGACTGTCCAAAAGAGCTGCCTCTGCAGCCTCCTTTCTTTTCCCAAACGTTCTCCTCCTTTTCCCTACCACTCGCTCCTGTCCCTTTGACGTCCTCTTTTCAAACCAGCATCAACTTCTTTAAGCCTTCCCTCGCCTCCCCTCAGTCACTCCATCTCCCACACTCAGAGCTGAGAGTGGGAGAGATATGAACACATGCTGACAGGAGCGCAGGGTGTGGGGGTGAGGAGGGAGGAGGCAGGGTACCGATGGCCGGAGCGAGGGACTGAGAGGAGGGAGAGGAGCGACTTCTGCAATCTGCGTTGAAGGCAAACACAAATGCAGAGGTGAGTTTCACAGACGAGTGGAGGAAACCGTTACAGATCGCCTCGCCTTGGAGGGATGCCGCTCTGCTCCGCCTCCACGAGGTCCAAACACGCCACATCTGAGGAGTTCTCAGTCAGTCCTTCCTCTCGTTCATTATATTTCAGCATGTCAAAGCTAAGCTGGTGGGGCAGACTGCCAGGTCAGCAGCCTCACCACAGACAGCCGTGAGAGCTGCTGCTGTTTTTTTTTTTCTTCCATGTTGTTTCTTTCCTCCTTTTTTATATATTTTTTGCCAACCTGCAGGAGTTCAGCTCAATGCAGCAGAGTGGATAAAACTCAGCAAAGTTTAAGAGACAGATCGAACTCTGGCAAACATGTTAATAAATGCACATAAATTTAGGAATGAAGGAGGGGAAAAAACAAGATAAAAACAGGATGAGAAGGGTTTTGTAGGGAGAGTATGKGCTGAGAAAAGAAAGAGCCATACTGTGACTGCAAAAAAAAAAAAAAGTTTCAGCGCATGGAGAGCTGGTGGAGGATGTTGGCACTGTGCGAGTGCACATTAATGCTGCCTTTGTGGGGTCTGTGTGAGGTTTAATCCTTTTTTTTCCATTCTCCAATTAGATCCCTCCGTCAGGGTCTCGGGGGGCTCTTGTTGTGGTGTTGCATTTATCGTTTCTTGTCACCTTGCCAAACTATCCATATCATAAATCCCTTTTTTTCCTCTTTTTGTCTCTTTTCCACCGTTGCGTGCATGGTTTTAACACTCCTCCACTCTCCTCTCTCGGGGGTGGGGGGTGGGGGGGGGGTCTCAACAAGCTGCAGGAAAAACTGCATTCAGCAAAGCCCTGGCAACCCCCCATTCAGCCACAAACACCCCCTTTTTAAACTCCTCTTTACTCCTCGCCCCCCTTTTAAAGCGTTTATCCCTTCAGCATTCTTCCTCTCAAATGAATGCACACACACTGAAAACACTTTCCCTTACAGCAGCCCACTGTCTTTCTGCAGCTGAGCTGAGCAGAAGGAGCCGCTTTCGGTATTTGCTCACTAAACTCGCAGTAAAACGCAGACCTGGAGGAACGGTGATGGGCATGGGTGTGTATGTGCAGTTCCTTGGGTGCAAGTGTGTTTTTTTGGGTGGGGCTTTTAAATACTGGGGGCATTAGGAGGGCAGAAATGGGAGGGAGAGGAGGCTGAGACGTATAAAAGAAATAATAAGTCTCCAATAAAACCTCCTTGGGAGCTTTACAGTATCCATGTAAACAAAGTTTCCATGATTTGAACAGGAGAAAAGAAGGACGACATCAAGACGACAGGGGGCGGGGAGGGGGGGGGGACATGACGAGCACGTTCAAAATTCCACATCCCTCGCCGAGACCCCCATGCTACACAAGTTGTGTCTGTCTATCTGATGACGCAGACGTCGGAGTTAAACAGCCACACTGCATGTGTGAACAAACAGATGGACTTCCAATATGAGCGCCTCTGCTTCACTGAAAATGGAAAAACCTGCTGTTCGCTCGCTTCGTGATGCCTGGCAGCTCTGGAATGTCTAACGAAGAATTTCAAGTCTTCGKGGGGTCAAATGTGCGTCGTTATTCGTGTATAAAACCCGAGTCATTCCCTGCCTCAGCTGTTATTTACAACCCGATTCTAAAAAAAACTGCGATGCTGGTGAAACGTTAGTAAAAAATAAAATACGATGATTTGCAAATCATAAACTCAAATCTGTACCGCTTACAGGCCTTGTCTAGTCTTTTTTTGAGCCGTGCTAAAATGGAACCATCTCTTCAGTATGTTCCATTGTCAATAATGAGATTCGTGAATCATTGCATCCTGTTTTTATTTACAACGTCTCAACTTTTTGGCAAATCGAGATGTATTTTAAAGAATTGACAGTTTTATTTCATTTAAACATTTGAAGAGGTCGAATAAGGCCATGGGGGGAGGGTTATAGAAGGCAAAACCAAAAAAAATGCTAATTCAGTATAAAAGGCTAAACATTTTATCAGAGGAAACTACACCACCCACAGAGCGTTGGGATAAAAGACGTCCAGTGCCAAGTGTTATTAGGCCTGAACTTGTAACCACAACATTCTTACACCAAAGCATCAGTCTTCTCTGCAGCAATACAAGCCAATCATTAACCCACAGGATGTTCCCACTCTCAGATATTTTCACTTTAAGAAGTCCAGAATCTGATTAGAGCAAAGCCACATTCAGGCTCAGTCGTGTTCTTCTGTCCCTGCTGGCAGAAACACGAGGACTCTGGATTTTTCTCAGCGTGTCACTAAGGATTTCTCTTTGGTGAAGCAAAAACTGTAAACACAGAGTGACAAGAGTCCAAAAGCTGGGGGGGTGGGGTGGAGTGGGGGTGAGACAAGTCAGGGACCTGAAATGTGATCTTATTGTCAGCTGGGATTGTCGTCAGCCACGGTTGCGGGTCAGTGTTGAGTTTTAAGTTTTGTTCAGGAAAGAAAACGTTTCCTCATTTCATGACAAAAAAACCATTACTGAATAAAACACCACCTAAAACAACACATGATCACTTTCATTCTGCACAAAGTCTTCTGCTCAAGCTCTAAAATAAAAAAAATTAAAAACTCATCTTAAACCAGTCCTGCGCAGAAAGCAAATCTTAAAATATTTACCAGAGTCAGACCGCGATGAGTCGTCCTCTTCGTCCTCCTCATTCAGGATAAACATCAGCGGCTCCTCGCTGTCCTCCGAGAAGAAACTGGGAACCTTTCGCAAAACAGCGTTCACATTTTCTGAGTGAAACATTTTTTTTTTTTTTTTTTCTTTTTGACTTTGAGCATACCAGACGACAAGCAGAACTGAGTAGAAAAACACAAGCGTTTGCCACTGGGGCGCGTGAGACAGATCAATTAGTTAACCATCTGTATCACATAAAACGGCTTCTATTGGATGGCCGGAGTCATGTGCCACACCTGTCAAAACATTAAACACACATTCGGCTGCTCACAAAGTCAGCTATTCTTCACTGGGAGCAAGGTGCCAACTCCAACACCTGAACAATGAGAGGAAAAATTTAGCAGCTCCTTCAAACCAAACGTGCAGTTTGCAACAAGCTGGTGCAGATGATCCCAATGCTACTTAAAAAGGGTTTAAATATATAAACACAATTAAAACCCTAGCAAGCCAATGCATATCATCCTCCCCCTCTTAATGCCAGAGTTTTAGACTAAGATCATCTTCTGTTGAGAAACTGCATGTGATATCATGAAATGACACGCTCATTGCTTTTAACAACTCTCAGCTACTACCAAATCAAATGTCAGCTCAGTATCTGTAAAATTACCTGAGTTATACCGTTTTTTAATCGGCAAATGTGAATTAGCTGTAGCCATCTTGAATTAAACTGACTGATGGCTGGTTACACACAGAGATATGGGGCAAAAACGTCACAATAAATAATAAATTCAGGTCATTTTTTACTGGCCTACATCAAATACTCACATTGTCTTCAGCAAAGTTTTCTCCATTTCCATCAGGATACAGTGCTGCAAAGAGATGAGGGCAAATTCAGACAAGGCCAAGCAGCAGCAGCAGCTAATAAACTTCAAAAGAGACTCCAGTGAGTGCAGATGTTAGTCACTTTTTAATGACAGCACGAATACAGTCTTTTCTTTTCATAACCTCAAAGGATTTTTACTGTTGTCTTAATTTTTTTTACCACCATGTGTGTCCCAGATCAAAGTGTGTGGTGTGTGATCGCTCAGCAGAAACAAAAGACTAGCAGTCTTTAGTGGGTTTGATTTGTGAGCTGGGGTCATGTAATAAGGTAAAGGCAGGAAATGGAGGGAAAGTAAAAAAGATGCACAGGATTCATAATTTACGGGCCCAAAATTTATATAAAACTTGAATGATTCATTTGTGTCTTTATGTAATATAAGGAAATATATTTACCTAATACATATAGTGACAATATTAGCTTGGGCTTTTAGCTCTCAGCTAATCAGAGCTGAAGTAATCTGAATAAAATATCTGCAATTAAATTATGCGCAGGAGATGAATTACAGTTCCTCTAGCACCTCCCACAGGGCAAAGTTTTATAGACTGAAAAAACAAATCAGTTTTTATCTGACTGTTATGGTTAGCCTTTAGCTATTTTAAATGTTTTACTGTTATAACTTTTATTCTGTTTGTTTTAACTTTAACAGTTACGTTTATTCAGTACTCAGCATTCGGACTGTATTTTCCCAGAAAACGCAATTTCTGTAAATTCATTAGGCTTCTTGAGTCATATAACAGAAACAGATTGGGAAGTTACCGCTGTCTGCAGGATCATCCATGAGTTCTTCCTTTTCTGAAACTGCCTCCACATAGTCCCTTCTGAGCGCTTTAATCTGAAAATACAAAAATATTTGTTTTGTTCCTACATATAAG